TGCAGCCACCAGAGCCAGGGCAGAAGTTGCTGGGTCCCACACTAGGAGCTGAAGCTTCCATTAGCTCCCATATGACCCTGGCAGTGAATCCTCCAGCTGAGCTGGACCCTCTGCAGGTTGGGGGAGGTGGCCCTGAGGAAATCTGCCTTCAGGAGAGGAGTAGCTGGCTGGCTGCTGGGCTCCCTGCTCTGGTCAGTAGCTCTGAAGTGTCCGTGTCCCCTCCTTGCAGGTTTCTCCAGCTACACTCCCAAGCACTCCGTGGAGTTCAGCAAGTGGCAGGAGCAGGAGTACGAGAAGCCTGCCACCACCGCCAGGCCGCTCCTGAAAGAGGCCAATCCTCCAGGGAGCCAGGTCATGGTGAGAGTTCAGAGCAGGGGTGGCTGGGTCATGTGCTCCCCTCAGCCACACTGGGCCGGGGTGGGGGGGTTCTTTGTAGGGCTGGTGAGCTGTGCCGGGCCAGCAGAAGCTGAGGAGAGAGCTGGAAGTGGCAGGGAGGGGTTGTGGTTTTTGGGGGACACAGGTGTGGTTTTCTAGAAGGGGGCTACCCAAGGGCAGCGTGACTCAGCTGTTCTGGGGTGGTGCCCCCCACTGTCAGCAGGTACAGGTCGTGTCTGGTTCAGACCAGGACTTTCTGAGCCTGTTGCACTGTGCCCTGGCTCTCGGCCTAGCCCTGAAGTGCTGCTGCCAGCGTGGTGCAGAGGAGAGGGAGTGATCCTTCCATGCTGAACCTCTGCATTCGGGTGGAGTGGGGAGCCCCAGTGGAACCAAGGGCCAGACAGGCCAGCAGCAACCACTGCCTCCTTCTGCCTATTGGCAGAGGGGAGACTAATGCAGCTGCCGGCCTCCATGCCTTCCTCTGAGAGTGGTAACGTACGTTCAGCATGGAGATGGGGTGTAGCCACCAGCCCCAGCAAGGTACCAGGTTAGAGCCTCCAGCATGGGCCCCTGGCTGTACCCAGGACTGGCAAGGCTTCTGCTCAAACACCTCTCTCCTCTCCTGCAGCTCACTCCGGCCGAGCAGAGTGGCCTCTCCGACTTCAGCAGCGAGCCTGCCCTGTACTTCTGACTCCTGGGCCATGCACCTGCAGCACTCCCTCCGAGCTGGGAACCTGGCAGCTTTCCCCGTGTCCTTGGCTGCGCTTTGTGGGCGGGAGGCTTTCTGAAGCCCCACAAGGAGCTGGTGGCACTCCAGCCTGGCACGGGCCCTGCTGCCTGAGGGGGACAGCATGCCACTGGGCACTTCCGAGAATATTTGCACTGGATTCTGGGACACCTGCAGCTGCTGGGTTCTGCCTGTGGCCTTACACGCTCCTCCTTTGGGAGTAGCTGCCAATAGACTTCTGGGAGTGACTGAGAGCACCTTGTGAGCCCCATGCTGGACGGAGACCCTAGGACTGTCTGCTGGGCTCCGCCCACCCGCAGGTGTGACCTCAACAGGCACCTGCGGCTCTGAGCTGCCGCTGGAGCCAGCGCTCGAACGGCTGGAGAGCTCTGCTTGCGGAGGAGGCTCAGGTTGGCAGTCTCAGCTGTGTGAGCGCTGAGGGCTCTCCGGGGGTTTGCCAGGGTGTGGGCACTCAGGGAGGGTGGTAGGAAGGGGAGACTGCTCTCTGCTCAGATGGGAATGATAATTAGAATGGGAGCGTCCCCAGCCTCCAATGTGGCTTTGCTCCCTATGAGTGGCTGGACCCGCATGAGGCGACACTTGGCCCCTTGCATTCCGAAGCACTGGCGGGAGCTTCCCTAGCGCAGCTGTTGGTGTCAGGCTCTAAGCACCGTCACTCCTGCCAGGGTTTGCCTGCTCTCCACACGGCTGTGGCTGGCTTCTGAACCTGCTCCCATTTGCTGGGCCTCAGACATGTCCAGCCCCTGCACTCCCGGCCCCGGCGCACACCTCAGTGTGGAGAGCTCGCCTGCTGAGTCAGCCAGTGCTGCCAGGCCTGCACCTGGCCCTTCCCGCCCCTCTGCTCCAGGCTCTCCCCTTCCTTCCACAAGGAATAGGTGGTTCTCTGGCTTTTTAGAATTCCCCTTCGCTAATGGTCAATGCAAGCCAATATACAGTCAGTCTGCTAGGCTGCCACTGCTTGTGGGCACATCGCTAGTACTGTAGACTCAGGGTCAGAATAGCATGTTCTGGGAAAGACCAATGTTAGTGAACTGAACGTTGCTGCTAATGTGACTTTACTCCTGGGCCAAAAGGAAGGATGACCAGCCCAGGGCTGGCCTCTGAGGCACTGTGGATGGGAGGACAGTATCTGAGCCTGCCACCTTCTCCAAAGGACCGAGCTCCTGTCTTTCTGATTTAAATCAACCGATGCATTCAGTTTGCTTCTCCAATAGAGCGCAATCAAGCTGTCTGTGATTGTGGCTGAATTGGAAATGTCTCTTGCACTTGCTTGGGTGTGTCTGTGTACTTGGTGGTGCCAGCTCTCTACCCCAGTGACCCTGCTGGGACCTGCTGCTTCTGAAAACAGCCCACAAACTTCACTGCTCCACTGACACGTTGCCAGGCTTGCCAGAGGAGCCAGGTACTGATGCACCTGTACACTGTGTGCTTCCAAAGCTGATGAAAGGCCCCATGCGTGGTAGTGCCCGGTGATTTGTAGTACTTTGGAATTACGGCAATTCAAAAGAACTGTCCTGGTGGTTTGATAAATGGGGGGGTCTAATAAATTTCATAGCAGTGAGCCCTTGATGCTGATGGTTGTCCTTGCCAACGTGGGGTGAGGTGTGCAATGAAGTACAAGCGTTGCTGAGAAGAGTGGGAATCTGAGGGAGACCCTTTGTTTTCAAAAAGGGTCAGGGGGGGGCAGTACATGGTATGGCCAGTGGCACCCCCTTCTCCCATGCATTTAGGGAAGAAGAGTGGGAATTCATGCTTATAGGCCAAGGACAGAAGGGGAGGGGGAGGTAGTGACTAGGAGAGGATTCCTGAAGGGGCTGCAATGTGGGGAGCCTCTAAAGCAGAGAGGGGGCCACTAGGCCCTGTGCTTCCTAGCAGAGCCCTCTGCTCCCATGCTGCGCACATGCAGTGAGGAGCCGTGTGGAGAGCCCTGGCAGGGGGAGGAAAACAGGAGCTGTAAGTCCAGCCCAGAAGCTGAACTTGCCTCTGTCCCACATCCTCCAGCTTTGTCCTGCAGCCACACTTCATCCTGTAGACAGGGGATCCCTTCTGCAAACTAGGGGACAGCATAAGCCAGTGGCTCTGGTGAGGCTGTGTGAGCTCTCACTGGAGGTATGCAAGAAAAGTCCTGTGATGGGGACAACACGTTTTCTAAAGTAAGACTTGGCAATCTGGTCACAGGCATAGTGTGACCTACGCTCCCTCCAACTTTCCCATCATGTGCAGAATACATTTTATGTGCACCAGAGCATGGGTGGGTGTGCACCACCAGTAGAAACCCAAACCCTGGCCGTGGGGGCTCTGCTCATCAGCTGGGTGGTATGTGACTCTGAGCAGCTGCACATGCACCCAGCTTACAGGAGCACTGACTGCCACCCTGTCTCAGGCAGGTGGGTGGGCGGGGCAGACTGTTTAGAAATGGGCATGCAGCCTAAGAAGTTTGAAAAGCACTGACCTAAACCCAAGTGCCTGTAAACTGTAGGCACTAGGTCGAGTGGCAGCAGCATTCCTTCAGCTCTCAGCTGCTTGGCTGGGGCAAGGCAGACCTTTCTGCCATAGACCAAAACGCAATCCTGTTGAAATCCCAAGGGCACAGAGACCTTGTTCAAACGGAACCATCTGTGGCGGCCTTTTCCTTCTATTCAGCTGCCACATCAGTCCTGCTTGAGACTGTGTCTCTGCTGCCCTCGGAGCTTCCCCTGCAGCTCACCAAAACCTCCAGCACTGGGAAGCAAGTTGCTTAAAATTAAATGAAGTTATTAATGGACGTCACAGAACTGGCCCGGACTCCAGTTCTAACAGCCATGCCAGGCAACCGCTAATACTCTGCCTGTGACGTGCAAGCTGCTGACTCCAACTGGGCAAGAGTTCTCGGGCAGATGTGTGGGGCCTGGCCCACAAATGCACGTGGCCTTGGCTGTGTGCCCTCCCCAGCTAAAGTCTTACTTCAAGGAGGGTCCTGAGGCTACTGCGCTTCAGGCTACACATTGCCCCAGCAGGGGTGATCTAGAGGGGAATGCTGCCTACCCTGGGAGGAGCTGGGGGCTGCTGGTCCCTGCCCTGAAGGGCTACTCTCTCGTAGCTCTAGGGCGGGGTCTGGATGTGGCCCTTGTGGCTCAGACCTCCCCTCCTAGCACAGGGGAGCCTGCGCCTACTGAGGGACTGGAGCATGCGAAAGCTACAAACCTGGCCCCCGCTAGGCTCTGGGGTGTGAGGGGAACGTGGGGAGCGTTCTCCTCAGTGAGGGCTTGGGGGTTTTTTGCTCTAGAAATGCGGCTTCTCCATCCTGGTGGGTGTTTCATCCCTCGTGTCCCAGGCACTGGGCATGGGCCCCGAGGGGGTGTGGCAGTGGGGCTGTCCTGAAATGCAGCTCTCCCGCTGCCCCGAGAGTCGTGGCCCTGCCCCTCCATGCTCTTGTGCTCCTGCTTCCCAGTGTGCTGTAGGAGTGCCCTGTCCCATCCCTCCAAATGATTTTTCTGGGGGTCAGCAGCCCCTGCTCTAGGATGTGCGCTGCTGCTGCCACCTCCCATCTGCTGCACCCAGGCCAGCAGCACAGCCGCTCGCCTCCCTTGGCGTCTGCATGCGCCAGCAGGCTGCTTCCACGCTTCCCACCCTTCTGCAGTGGCCCCAGGCAGCTGGGCTATGACCTCTACAGGGCTTCGGAAAATGGCTCCTGCCAAAGCAAACCGTGCACTGGCTCTGAAGGGGGAAGTGCGACATCCTGAGGCCCCTTTCTTCCCCAGGCTGCATTCCCAGGGCATCCCAGCCCTGCTCAATGGCACCTGTTGCACACAGCCTGAACGGATCCCCACCTGGCCCGAGGCTGTTCCAAAAGGACTGACTTCTGCAAAACAAAGATTTTATTAGCCATTGCTTCCCCCAGGTCACGCGCTCAGCATGCTGGCCAGGGACGCTGCGGCTTCCCAGAGTGACCCCCAGAACACTCGAGTCCACGTGCTCAGCTCTCCTTCGTGATGCTACTTTTCAGGTCTGTGGCTCTGCTCAGATTCCCTGCTTCCCTCTTCAGCACATTGAGCAGCGTCTGGGAACTCTCCAGGATCTGGGCAGGCAGGAAACACAAGTTACTTCATTTTACAGAAACTGAGCAGGTCTCTTAGCTGGAGCTGGATTTTGAGCAAGCGCCCAAGGAAGCAGGTGAGCGTCAAGCCTGGGTGTCTCCTGAGAGAGACACGTTAGCTCAGCCTCAGGTTCTGGGCTGGAGGCAGGCAGTGCTGGGTGAATGTGTTGTGGCTGTTAAACAGGAGCAGACGAGGGTCCTTCTGGCCTCCCCATCTAGCAATATTAACGCAGACCGGTTCCTTAGAACAGGGATGTTTAACTGGGCAAGTGCTGCTGTTTATAGATGTTAAGACTAGAAGTGACCCTTGCTCATCCGGTCTGACTTGCTGCGTAACTCAGGCAATTCCTCCGTCAAACCAGTAACGTGGAGTTGAACTCGTGTATGTTAGAAAGAGATGTCCAGTCTTAGACTCCAGTGGCTACTGCAGGAACCCCTGCAACTGGAGAAAGAGCCCCACCCCAGAATGCCTCCTATGATTCAGTGGTCAGGGCATGCCCGTGGGCCATGGGTGATCCAACTGCACGTCCCTGCTCTGATTCAGCAGCAGGGAGATTGAACCCAGTCCCCCTACAAGCTGTGAATACTCTGACCCCTGAGCTAGTGGGGGAGCACTTCCTCCTCGGTGTTCCTGTAAAACGACAGATTTCTCCTTAGTCACAGCTGGCCCTAATTAAACACACAACTATTTAAAATGTACATTTAGTGGGATGACATTTCTAAGTGTTTGTTCCACTTTTTAATAATGCCATTTTCTGAAGGCAAATCAACTGCCCCTTACCCCAGAGTGTAACAGTGGTGGTGTCAATATTTAACAGAGCTGAGGCCGTGCTGGAGGCTGACTATTTCCCAGGCAACCACCGCAAGCCCCATCCCCGTGACTGTTGGACAGTTCTGAAGAGCCTGGGCCATGCCCAAAGTTTAACTTCTTGGAAACCGATGGAATGTGTCCTTTCCATTTTGCAAGAGCTCCTTGAATGAGGAACTGGCTTTGACAGACTACAGATTGTGCACGTCTCAGCTCCCTGTGGCTGTCAGCCTGAAGGGTCACTACAGGTAGAATGAAAGCTGTAGGAGTAACTACAACCCTAGAAGCCATGGAGGGGTTCACTGACGCCTGGAACACTCAGAGCTGGCCCCTCTCAGATGGCAGCTTTGAGAGCAGGAGGGAAGTGGCACTGTTCCTTGTTCTCCTATGGAAAGTGAAGCATCCCCCTGCAGCTGTGTACAGTTCCCAGAAAGAGCAGACAACAGCTGGCTGAATTCCTCCTCCCAAGCAGTGCTGGTATATTTAGCATCTTCCTGTTTTTCAAGGGCTGGAGCACAAGTGAGGCTTGGTGTAGATTGATTTATGGTACTTCCCAGGAACCCCAGCCAAGGGTCACGGCCCTCCTGTGCTAGGTGTTGGACCGGCTCAAACTCTGTGTGACTGAGGGGTTGCCATAGGGGCTTGCTGGTGCTTGTGGCCAAGACCAAATGGGAGGGGTCTCTCTTTGAGCAAATGCTCTGTAGACATAGGGTGATGCAGAGCATCACCCTGCATAAAATGATGCTCTGCCAGGGTGGGGCATGGCTCAGCCACTTCAGAACAGTCCCAACCACCAAAGAGTGGGGACTTGCAGCGATCTGCCAAGTAGTTTGTCACCAACATCCTCAGCTCTGTTACTTACTGACATTCAGAGCCATCTACAGCCTGTGAATGGGAGTTGACCTGCCTCTCCCTAAGCGTATTCTTGAACTAGGAATCGCTGTTACAGAATTCACTGTTATCGGGCTAACTGTTTTTTAACCTGCTCTAGAGGTCTGATTGACCAGACAGAGCTCAGGACATGGAAGGCTGGGGCAGAAACACTTTTCATTATGCTCAGCAGCCAAGTAGCATGCCCAGTTGGGATGCTAAATGGAGATTATTTTAGTAATCGAGTAGTCGATAGGTTTATCGACTACTTGATAGGGGAAGGCAGCCCCATTCAGTCCTGGTTTGCACCAGGACCAAACCCCGCTGCGGCTCTGCAATTTAAAAGGCAGTAGGAGACAGGCAGCCTGTCCTCGGCTCCTGCTACGTTTTAAATTGCAGAGCCACAGCAGGGTTTGGTCCCCGAGCTGGCACAAGGGAATGAGCTGGGCTGCCTGCCTCCTAAATTTAGTAGGAGCCGGCCGGGTAGATAGTCCGGCTCAGTTGCTGCTCGCACCGGGTTGGGGACCAAACCCCGCTGTCAGGGACAGGCTGCCTGTCTCCTACTGCCTTTTAAATTGCAGAGCTGCAGTGGGGTTTGGTCCCCGCGCAAGCTGGGACTGAGCACGGCTGCCTGCCCAGCTGGTAACAGCCCCTGTCTGGGACCCCTGCCCACAACCTAGTAATTTTCATCCTGTTGCTGCCTTGGGAAGCTGGGGCAGAGGCCCTGGCACGGGGTCGAGTCCGATGCACAGTGGTGAAAAACTCTTTTCAAAATGGAAACTGAATTCCTCAGCAGTAAATGACGTTATTCGTTATCCCGTTATCCCGACCCAGTTTTAAATGGAGGCCACGCAAGAAGGGGCACCACACAAATGTAGAGTAAAACGTTCCCTGTCATGCAGAGCTTGCAAGTCAAACCGCAGGGAAAGGGACAGAATACGCAAGCAGGAGGAGTCGTTCTTCTGCTCTACTCTGCGCTGATTAGGCCTCAGCTGGAGTCTTGTGTCCAGTTCTGGGCACCTGCTCAGAACGTTGTGGAGAAATTGGAGAAGGTCCAGAGAAGAGCAACAAGAATGATTAAAGATCATGAGCTACGAGGGGAGGCTGAAAGAATTGGGCTTGTTTAGTTTGGAAATAAGACAGAGGGGGGGACAGGATGGCTTTCAAGTATCTAAAAGGGTGTCATGAGGAGGAGGGAGAAAACTTGTTCTCCTTGGCCTCTGGGGATAGGACAAGAAGCAATGGGCTTAAACTGCAGCAAGGGAGGTTTAGGTTGGACATTAGGAAAAACTTCCTGCCTGTCAGGGTGGGGAAACACTGGAATAAGTTGCCCAGGGAGGTTGTGGAATCTCCTTCTCTGGAGATATTGAAGAGCTGGTTACTAGACCTCTAGCAGGGTGGTCTAGACAGTGCTGGGTCCTGCCATGAGGGCAGGGGACAGGATTCGATGACCTCGAAGTCCCTCCCAGTGCTAGCGTTCTGTGATTCTACAAGCAGAACAGGTCCCTGGGGTTTGGTGTTCTAAACTTTCAGGCAGTGTTAGGAGGGGGGAGGGAAATAGCTACAGGGAAAAAATGGGGGGGGGGAGGTTCCTCAACATCTATATTGAGACAGTCACAGTGGAGGGAAACCAGTGTGGGACTTTCATGCTTCCATCAGTGCCCTGGGGTCCTATTGAAACCATCCTGCAGTTGCAGAGGCTCCCTCTCTAGCTGGCTCCTGCCTGTGTCTCTCTCAAAGGCCATATGGCTGAGGGGACGGGAAGGCTGCATGGCTACTAGTCCCCCTGGGGCATGGGATAAGGAGGTTAAGAGAGAGTCCTGTTGACTAATCAGTTCCCCCGCTCCCTGCTGCCTCTATTAGAAGAGGAGGGGGAGAGAATACTTCCGGCTCCATGCGCTGGTGCTTTGTACCTGGGCTCCGTGCGGCGCTGCCCTTTTGAAACGCTGCCACTGTTTCAAAGCAGCAGTACCACATGGAGCCGGGGGGAGCTAGGGACTCCCCAGCTGATCCTGGGCTCCAGCCCGGCATT